ACTGTAAACAGATGGGTTTTTTCTACATTTGTCACACTGAGAAAACTGAAACATTGTCTTTAATAAAAAATGTGGTTAGTTGAAAGCCATAATATTAAGTTTAAATAAACAATATTTGGTTCAGCTTAATATTATTGATTTCAACTAACCTAAAACAGTTATGTGTAATCTGTTCACATTTAATTAAAGTTTTAGTTTGAGTTTTTTCAGTGCACAAAGTGTATATAAAGATAACTGCTAGCATACTCATTATGAGCCTTCTCCCCCTCCAGCTCATGGTGGACGTAGATGGTAAGCAGGAATGGAAAGACTGTGCGGACGTCACAGGACTCAGACTTCCTCCCGGATACTTCTTCGGAGCCTCTTCTGCCACCGGAGACCTGTCCGGTAAGAACTCTCAGGAATCATCTGAAGGATGCTCTCACACTGCGAACCTGTTTATTTACTGGTTAATGTTGTGCGTGTTGCTCTAGATAACCATGACATCATCTCCATGAAGTTGTACCAGCTGACCATAGAGAGGAGTCTTGAAGAGGAGCAGGAAGAAGAGGACGTCACTGTCCCCAGAGTGGACGACATGGACCAGTTCACAGGTTGGTGCACCTAGATTCCATACTGTAGCAACTTATTCCATCATATAGCTGATGACTTTCATTTGTGGTCTCTCGCTACTTCCTTTTTTTTGGTGTGATAATCAATATTAAAGCAGCAGAGGCTAAAATGGCCTTTAAACCCATATTGCAATTTGGTAGCATTTTTCATTAGGCTTCCCCTTCTTCGGAAATGATAATATGTTTCAGAGAAACCTTTAGACTTATTATAGAATTATATTATCATAGCTAAGTTACAAAGTACAAACAGGGATTAGTTGTATGAAAGCATCATTTACTAAATTATAATCCACTAAAATGTTAGATTGGCAAAAAAATCAAGTTCAGGATGTTCTTAGACTTCAGAAAGATTCTTCTGGAACCAGCAAAGACATTATAAAACTGATCTCCCTTCGCGACTACACTGAAATTCAGTTGTAAAATCAGTGGACCTTCCTTTGGATGTAAAAACCCATGAAATCCCTGTAATGGAGTGGTTCAGTGGTTCAGTGTATTTTTGTAGGCCGACCTGTAAGTTGGCATCACAGTGGCTCCCTCGACAAAAAGCAAGGGGATCTTTCCATTCGATTTTGCATAACTAGAGAAAATAACATCTTACAAATGTATGATACTTTGAAGATAGTGATACTATGATTATCGAAGCGTAATTACAATTGCAAGAAGTTCAAATCGAATCTCTAAAGGAACTTCATCCCTATCGCATGACTTCACGTCGCATATGACGCATAAAAGCTTCTGACATTCACTAGTGAGGAATTTACTGACACATTCTTCTGCATCGAACAAAACGTGAACATTAGACTACTGAAAGGGAGGCTGTGGCTCAGTGGTATAGTGCGCTGAACTTAGTGCACTGAACTGAATCAGGGGGTCACAGGTTCAAACCCCACTGCAGTCAGCATGTCGTTGTGTCCCTGAGACACTTCACCCCAAATGGGTCCTGTGGGGATTGTCCACAGTATTGAGTATGGAGCTTTGGATAAAAGCGTCTAAGTGACATGTCATGTAATGTAATGTAATGTAATGAAACCAAACACAGTAGAGTGCTAACTCTTTTCTCAGTCTTAGGACTCTTTCAATACAATACAATACAAAGGGGCTTTATTGGCATGACCACATATTACACATAGCATTGCCAAAGCATTCCGCACAAGGCGTTATAACAGAACAAAAAGAAAAGAAACACTAAACATACATGTCAACAATAAATGTGGCATAACAGCAAAACACAAAACATGCTGTACATGCCATTCCTGCACCACTATTTGGTAACAGTGTTTCTAGAAGACTTGCTGTTCAGAATCTGCTAAACTTTAGGTATTCAGTTTCTTTCTCAGCATGATGCCAACACACTGAAAATACTAATATTTTTTATTTTAACTTAATATTATTGCTTTCATCTTACCTGATAGTTATGTGAAATTTGTTGACATAATACATTTAATTAAATTCAACGTTTCAGTTTTTTCAGTGCAGTAGGATAACTAAATGTCATTGTCCGGACCTTAAACCCACCATTAAGGGAGAAGGACCAGGTGTTCTATAGTTACCCCCTTTAATGGAGGAGAACTACAAAGGTAAATTGAACACCGGTGTCATTTCTAACGGCTTTTTTTTGTGCTGTTTCTCTACAGTGGAGATCCAGGAGGAAAGCATGAGCGGAGTCCAGTTCTTCTTCACCGTCCTCTTCTCCATCCTGGGCCTGGGGGTGCTGGCAGTCGTAGGGCTCGTTGTTTACGGCCGCTGGAAGGAAAACCGACGCAAGCGCTTCTATTGATCCGAGAGCAAGCGTCTGTTTCTTAATCAACATCCACTAAAAACAATGCCCAGACTGCCATAGCTTTACTGAACCATACAATCTGATGAACTGTTGGGTCTGAGGCCAAGAGCCACGAGAACATAAAGAGCCGTGAACACGCGAGCCAGCTGTGAAATGTTTGTGTGTGTGTTATGGAAGATTGATGAGACAAAGCTGCTTTGTGTTGAAATATGCTCATCTCAAGCACTGACCGAGATGCTGTAGATTTAAAATAATTGTATGAGTTTCTGATGTTGCCTACAGGAAGAGACAAACGTGAACCTCAAAATCCCAGACGCTGTGTGTAGTTCACATCATCTGCCAGGAGTTTCTGCAGTCGCGTAGTGACCTCTCACTGCCACTCGGGGCTGCCATCACGCAGCTTTAATCTGACTACAGACCAACAACCCTGTGGATCATTCAGCACTTCCTCTAGCTGGACTCAAAGCTCCCGTGTGTTTAAGATAAAATATTTTGTTAGCTGTTTGTAAAGGACTGCTATTGAAACAGGAAGTGCCTAGCTCTCACTCTGTTCCAGTCTTACATCCTGTTGAGTTCTTTGGCTTCATTGACTACTGCACTGAAAACTGCACAACGCCCATTTAATGTCTAACTACTGTCGAATATGATCTGTGTGTTAATCCGTGTAGAAGAACAAGTAGCTCAAAACAGAGCACCAGCACTCAATTTATTCAAATGCAATCAGCTTTTATTGTTTGGCCATTGCACCAAAAAGCGTTCAACTCTCAACATTCACATTTTGGCAGGATATTTGTATTTAACTCTTCAATCTTATATATTCTTGCAGATACATTTTTATTGTCAGGCTTGGTTAGAACTGCACCAACAAACCTGCAGACAGGTTTTAATAATGTCGTCACACTCAAAGGTTTAATGGTTTACCTATTTGTTCCTCTTATGTCTAACTAGGCGCTTTTTGTTCTTCAGTTTGTCTAACTGATCCCATTCACCTCTAAATTGTGTCAAACAACCTTGAAATTGATCATTTGATAAATAATCTCAATACAATTCTGCTTCCGATGCTATATATACAAACCCATGTCAGAAGAAACTGTGATTCAAGAGCTCTTCATTTTTCAGTAAAGGTTTTTATTGAGACTCGTTTTGTTTATCTTTCTCTCTCTCCAACTGTTTCAATCAATACTTTATTCATGTTTTTTAAATAGGACCTATGATAATTTTCAGTTTCATATTTTTATGTAGTGTCTCTACTGGGACATGTCTCCGTGCTTTAATGCTGCAGCACCTCTTTTCACCCTCTGTCTGAAACCAGAGCCCAGTCTGCTCTGATTGGTTAGCTGGCCGGCAGTGGCGTAAAGTAACTATGTAGATCAACTCAAGTGCTGTACTTAGGTAACATTTTGAGGGACTTGTACTAAACTTACTTTGTACTTCTTCTCCACTAAATGTAATTACTACCTTTAGTTACTTTGCAGATGTGGATGAATGATGTGAAATCTAATCAACTCTTAAATCAGACTTTAGTTCCACCTGGAGTAAATTCACAAGTGTGTGTGTGTGGGATAGAATGATGAAACACAGGGATTTTAGGATTTGCAAGGCAAGGCAATTTTATTTATATAGCACCACAAGGCATTTCAAAGTGGTTTACAAAAATAAATAATTGTTCAGCGGAAACACGTTATAAAATGACATTTAAGAAACGTAATTAAAAAGCAAAGATAATAAAATAAACATAAAACATGAATAACACAGGTATACAATACATGAATAAAAGTTACAGTGCAGTTTAAGATGTGAATAGTTCAATTAAAAGCAGCAGCAAAAAGAAAAGTCTTCAGCCTGGATTTAAAAGTAGTAAGAGTTGCAACGGACCTGCAGGTTTCTGGGAGTTTGTTCCAGATATTTGGAGCATAATAACTGAACGCTGCTTTACCATGTTTAGTTCTGACTCTGGGGACAGAAAGCTGACCAGTCCCTGAAGACCTGAGAGATCTGGATGGTTCATAATTTAGCAGTAGGTCAGACATGTATTTTGGGCCTAAACCATTCAAAGCTTTATAAACCAGCAGCAGTATTTTGAAATCAATTCTTTGACACACAGGAAGCCAGTGTAAGGACTTCAGAACAGGAGTGATGTGATCCACTTTCTTAGTTAGTGAGGACTCGAGCAGCGGCGTTCTGAATCAGCTGCAGCTTTCTAATATATTTTTTAGTGAGACCTGTGAAGACACCATTACAGTAGTCCAGTCTACTGAAGATAAAAGCAAGTTTTTCCAAATCCTGCTGTGACATTAGTCTTTTTTTGCAGACCATTTACATGCACTAAAACCCATATAACACACTACAGGAGAGGGAAAACCACAAAAAGCATAATCTTGTATGGCTCTTATATTCAATAAAAAAAACAGACAGAGGGCAGCAGGTTCTCTTTAGATTAAGATAATATTTGTGTATAAGTCTACATAGTTGTGTAAGAAGTCTTACTCAATGTGCTTATAAAGCCACACTAATGAAAACCTGACTTCTCTCTCCGCGGCTGCTCTTCACTGTTATGGTTGTGTGGACGCCCCTCCTCTTCACTGTTGATGATGAAGATATTTCTTACTGCCAGTTGGTAGACAGAAGCCTCAGTTGTCTTTCCTCCTCCTTCTTTTCCCTCTTCCTCTTCATACCTGTCTGTCGTCAGTTAACGCTGGGAATGTTAGGAACAACACCAAAATACTGCTCCCTGCATCTGTCACTGGAACACTGCTGGACACAGTGTAGTTAAGGTAAGCCCTCGGATATTTAATCACTTGTAATATCAGGTATAACACTATGTAACTGTTTTAAGTAATATGTGTTTGTACGAAAACACCTTTATTTGAAGCAAAGAACATACAATTGATGTAAATGATATTCAGTAGTGAAGGTATTTACGCTATACTGGTAGCTCAGCTTTCATATAAAAACTACTGTGACAAAAAGAAGACATATTTAAAAGAACAACCTTTTTCTGAACAACATGTCAGTGTGGGAGTTGTATAGAAGAGTTTAGGGCAGAGTAGTATCAGTATCAAGTACTGACCACATTCTCACACATTCAGGGGCAAACTTGCAACAAATAGGAGATAAGAGCAGATAATAATGATTAACTGGAGCTCGAATAGGTCACATGGGCCATTGTGCCTCATGGCTCAGTGTTGCCATATCAAACAGAGGTGTCCTGTAAACACCCGGCCATCATGCCGCTGCCTCACTTGTACTCCTGCTCGGGGTTTGCAGGATATCTGACCGACTGATCCAAAATCTGTCTAACTTGTATTTCTTTTTTACTTTTGCAGGTCTTACAGAGAGGATTATCAGGAAGGATGAATCGCTCGTGTGTAAACTGCTTGAAGTCTTTGGTGTTAAGTCTCAACTTCCTGTGCTGGGTAGGTGCTTAACGTCCCATCCACACTGCAGCTATAACCAGGGTTGGACCAGGACTGAAGCTCAGCCCAGGCCCACATTTTTGGTGTGGGCCTTTTTATTTTTTTGTGGTAGAACATGTGATGATGCTGAAGACCTTTAGGACACTTTAGGATGTCTTGCTGACACCTGGCTCCTCAGGTTGTATGAGAACGAATATAAAACATGAGCTGGCCAACTAAGGGTGACTTCAACACTGAGTGACGGTGTACTGCCAACTACCGCCGACCTCCGTATCAAAAGTCCTACAGCAGGTCGATAGAGGGCTGAACAATGTTACAGATGCTCACACATACAGTGCATGAAACAACACATCAGCAGTGGTGGATAGTAACAAAGTACATTTACTCAAGTACTGTACTTAAGTCCAATTTTGAGGTACTTGTACTTTACCAGTTTAGGCTACTTTATACTTCTAATTTTATAAACCAATAATGTACTTTTTACTCCACCACATTTATTTGACAGCTTTTACTTATACATTCAAAATCTAAATCAATGATTAAGTAAACTTTCACATACTGTATATTTATAGGTTAACACTTAACAGCAGTATATCAAGTTATTCAAATTAGCTCTTCGTTTACCAGTTGGGATAAAAACACATGAATAAACATAATACTAAACCAGTACGGCATATATACGATTCTGAAATAGGCCATTACTCATAAGGAGTACTTGAGTAAAAGTAAAAGTACAAATGTGCCGATAATTTTGTACTTTTACTGGTGGGGTATGCAATTTATTTCAGAAACACTTTTTGTTATATTCCATGGAATGCTCTTAACATCCTGATAGCAATGAATATATGAAATGCTTTGACAATAAATACATAAAAAAATGTCATCTGTGGAAGCCATAGTACTGTAAAAAGCACGACCAATCATTTGAGCCGGCCCGGCTAAAATAACTGGATGGCCTACCTGCCTGTCAGCCTTCCATCTGTGCACAAACTTATCTCGTGCCCTCATTGGTCATGTGCGCGTTCGTGTGTGTTGGAGGAGGGGCTCTGTAAGGAAGTGGCAGATTTGTTCCGGTTGTGTATTTTCAAATTCTAGCGATCTCGAGCCGGTTTCTCCAAAATTACCTACCCCACCTTTAAGTAAGATTTTGAATGCAGGACTTTTACTTGTAACAAACTTGTGAATTATTGCTACTTTTACTTTGGTAACACATCTGAGTAATTCTTCCACCACTGCATATCAGAATAATGTACCTGATAAAAACAGAATGAATCACGTTAGGTTTCTCACAGACTACCTCATTGCAACACGCCCCAAAAACGGACAAATCCAAAAAAAAGAAAATGAGCTAGCAGTCGGTTGGCAGTTCACACCCAGCTTTGGGAGTAACAAATTCCATCTAACAAGATTCTGTAATTAGGATACAAAATATGGTCACTCTATTCCTTAACATTTATATATTCAAAAGTTGTAGTAATGTTAGTAAACTAAAAAGAGCATGTTATAGTGTTTGTTTTAAAGGATCAGATTTTAGTTTCATCTTTTTAAGCTGTACTGTTCTGTTGGCTAACACTTTACGTTTTAAATACCATGAATTAAGATATGGAAGTTCTGTTATTACACTGAGTGTAATTTAATTCACAATGTACAATCATACCATAACAATAAGGTGTGTTGTGTCTGTGTGTTGCAGCTGTGCGGTGCGTTTGTGGTGGCGTTCGGGGAGTTCCAGATGATTCACTCCAAGTTCGCCTCCCTCATCACCTCCTTCTGGCCCATCTACCCCGCCAACACACTGGTGGTCACCGGCACCATCGTGACCTGTGTGTGTTACCTGGGAATGTTAGGAGGCATGAAAGAGAACCGCTGCATGCTCATCAGTGTGAGCAGGCCTGATTTACACAATCACAGCTCTTCACTTTTTTGTGACAATCTTTTTATTGTTTTCTAGTCGCCCTCACAGGGAAATATATATACAGATACAAATTGTGCGAAAGATAATACAAAAAGAAAGAGACAAAAACGAAAAATGATAGTCCTTTTCCCAGCCCTCTTGCCATTTCACAATAATCATACTTGATGTTTGTTAGAAATCTTCTGAGTTCATCTATCACGCACATTTTAGCATAACAATTTATAGTAAAACATTTTTATTTTGAGACTTTATCGTATTGACGGTTTCATTCTATACACATTTGCTTTTATATGCACATTGCAAACTAAATCCTATAAACCATGTTAAATGTGATTTACACTACTCCAGTTTTTCGTCCTGCTGTTCGTCCTGATGCTGGTGGAGCTGGCCATGGCCTGTGTGTTCCTGGTGTACAGCCGCAAGGTAGGAACCGTCATACAACAGCATACAGTGTTTATATCCAACATAATGAAAAAAATGGTTTGATCTGATTGACGCCTCGAGTCATTTGGAACATTTTTACTTCATACAGTTTGATGTCTGATTTTTTAAAACTGTACTTTTCCAAAAAGCTGTTTTCCATCTTGCAAGGACCACTGCTGGTCTCCCACTTACTTTAAAGAGGCCCTATCCTTCCCCTTTCCTCTAGTCGTGTGTTATATAGCTTTTCTGCATGTATATGGTTAAAATCCCTGTGTTCCCTCCAGAGGGAGTTTGTCTCCCACTCCCCCCATCCACCTGTCGTTTGTTTGCTTTTGTAACATAGTGACATCACTATGTAACACTCATGCATCTATTAGCTAGCGCTCCAACATGGGCGAAGCATATCTAAGTGGTTGACCAATCACAACAGAGCCGACCAGCTAACCAATCAGAGCAGACAGGGCTCTGGTTTCAGACAGAGGGTGAAAAGAGGTGCTGCAGCACAGGCAGTATGAGGAGGCATGGAGACATGTCCCAGTAGAGACACTACATACTGATAACCTGATAATGAGAGGGGGCCCTTTAATGAAACTAGATGCCATTGGCTTTATGGTCCAGTAGGCAGCAGTACATTGCAGATCATTTAACCTGCCTGTCTGTTGTGCAGATTGACGCATACTTTGAAGAAGACCTGATGCGGAGCTTGGACATTTACAGACTGTCCAGCTCAGAAAACAACACGGACATCAAAAAGGACTTTGATACCGTCCATTTCTTGGTAAATTATACGCTAGTCTCTTTTATCAAATGAAGTCCATTGCTGTTTGTCTTTGTAACCATCCTGTGGTCTCTTGTTGGCAGTGCTGTTAGCCTAGCCTTCAGCAGCCAGTTCTGATGGTATCAGCTGATTAAATGGGCCTGGACCAGATGGGCCTGCTATCTATCCTATTTTATTATCCATTCACTCCTAAAAAGTGAATGAAACGCAACGTTCTGAACACAAACAACATCTGATTCAGAAAGGTTTTGAAAACAAAACAGCAACTTTGGATTTAGGCAACACAATTACAACTTTTCTAGGTTTAGCCAATACAACTACAAGTTATTAACATTTAATCAACTATAACAATAACATTTTTTGAAAGAAATTTGACTTTGTAACATGTTGAAATACCAAATGTAGGTTATTTAAACCCCCACTCACTCAGTAAATATAAAATTATTATACAAAAAATAGTTTATTTGCCGCTAAACGTAATCTTCTATGGAGTATTTTGTATCAGGTGACTTCCTCCTTCACGCCTGTCATAATATTTCCAATCACTAGAGGTCAGTGTCATCTTCCTCTATTACTTCTTCTGGTGCTCAATTGTGTATAAAGTTGATAAAACCTTCTAGTATGTGCAGTAGGCCCCTTCTGACATGCATCTATGAGGCTGATAACCCCTAATAACTCATTTATTCGGTTAAAAAAATCAGGACCAGGAAATCAGTTCCCAACCACGTTCATCAATATTTAGTTGGATAAGCAATTCTCACATATGACTTCACATTGATGAAATGCTCTGATGAAAGACAAACGATAAAGAGCGTTTAATTGAATACAAAATAAAAAGAACATGTTGAAGCCTAAGTGCAGGAATAAGATCTGCAGCTCACCTAGAGTAGTGCAATGTACATTTCCCCGCTGTGGGACTAATAAAGGATTTCTGATTCTGAGAGGTGCTCTTTCATATTGATTCCAAATAGGTTCAGTATGCTCAAAGTAACCCCTCATTCAGAGGAGCAAAGACAGCAAATAAGTCTCAAAGGGGTCTAAAGACCAGAGCTCCTGGCTGAATCTGCATTAGGTGGAAAAGGATCAGGATCTACTTTGATCCAACTCTAATAAAAGGGGATCGTCACACTCTGATGGGCCCAAAAGGAAATGCAACAAGCTTCTCTGAATTTAGTATCTACTCCATACTGCCTGCACATGCACAACATGTGATCTGGATTACCTTAAATAAGCTACCGTGAAAATATGAATTGTGACATTCAGCTAAAATGAATGGAAAAAGGGAAAATATAACAAGTAAGGGACTGCTACACCTTATGATATTTTAAATGTCTTTGTGTTGATTTGAGTATTAGCTATCCTTTCGCCACTGCTCAACTGAAATAAAAGTTCATTCTATTGAAGTGAGGTTTTTTGTACAGTTTAGGTGCTGTGGAGTTCATGGTGAAGCAGACTGGAAGGGCGACATTCCAATATCTTGTTGTACCGAGGACCCCTGTAACACCCTCAACCCTGCCAACTGGCCAGAGGTACTGTCGCTGTACATCACATGAACTGTATTATCTCTGTATCACAGCTCAAGATAGAAACACAATACGATGTTGCAGTGATGACATCTTTTTATTAGGAATAAGCATTGTAAGAAGTCCCTTTACAAAAAGCAATGGGATTTTGGATTATTGCAGAAAATGAGATCACGCTTTTTGTTCTGCTCCACATATTAACACTTTTTATGATTTTTAAAGCAGTAAAGCAATTGACAGAAGTAAAAAGCCAATGTTAGGCTACAACTACATCACGGTCGCATGACTGTGCACGGTTAAGCTAAAAGCCGCTAACGTTTAGTATTCTTTTAGTCACTTGTTTTGTTTTGTATAAAACATAGAAGCTTCAGGCATTCATGAGTAAGGTATTTACTGACGTTTTGAGTTAAAACAAACATGAGAATTTCTTCAACCACAGATCTTATTGCAGGAATCTAACTAAAAACATGTTCAAAAAAACATTTACTTTGAGACAGGTGCACCGGATGGGGTCATTTGATAACTAATTTCTGAGCTTTAGGACTTATTCCTTCACCACTCTATAGGCCTCTTGGTTTGTTTTTCCAAAATGCTTGCACCTACTCTGAGGCCCCGGCTCCACGGGGACGAAAACGGGTTGAATCTGCATATTTCTCATGCGTATAGCCCTCTAAACTCGACGACGCCGTAAGGGAAACGTAGAAACAGACCCCGCAAACGACAACGGGTCCAAAGGTGGATAGATCTGGGAACGGAGCGCTCTGGGGGGTCCAACGGGGCCGTGGAGTCGCCTATACGGTCATTCGTTTTCATAGCCCTGCCTCTCCCCCGCAGGGTTGCTATCGTGCTCCAGTCGCTACTGACCATGCTACAGTTCTTTGTGCAACATCTACAGGAGCTCCTCCTTGAATTCAGATTATTTATCTTTATCTCGATATGGACATAAACGCGAGTGAAGTCTAATCTGACAGGACGGAGACACGCAGCTCCTGCCGCTGTGATGCAGCGGGAGCAAAACACACACTTCAAGTCAGATCATCACCCTTAGCTATTTTAATTACCTCTCAAACTACCTAAACTAGTTATAAATATGTTCATTTTTACTGTCGGGTCACTCATTACAGGATCAGCTGCTGCATGAGACAGACACTGACGCTGTCAGAAGAGAGGAAAAAGAGATGTATTTGATGATTATATATCATTATATCGTCGTTATTAATTTGTTTTAAAGCTCAATAAATAACAATGAAGACCTTTGACCGGCACTTTTATAATTTTGTCCGGAAGATTTAAACTTTAACACACGCTGACCGGCGAAAAACTCTGCCCGGTTCTGTCGGCCCCCACCGCGGAGAATACACAGAAGTGCAGCCATGACAACCATTCTTCTTCGCTGATTTTGTGGAGGAAGTTGCTGCTTTTGTGGAGGAAGTTACAGCGCCACGTACAGGTTCGGCATATGTACTGCAGCTTTTCCAGCGTTTGGATGTAAACGGAGCCGTCTCGTGGAGCTTGACACAATCCGGTGTATATTGCGTGGGGACGGAAGGTTTTTTGCGGTTGCATTTGCGTTACTCCGATGCGTTTTGCCGTATTAGTCCTCGTGGAGCCGGGGCCTAAAGTTGATTAATGGAGAGCATCTGTTGCTGTTACTGTACTTCTTTTCTTGGTGTAACTGCAGGCAGTATTTTGCTGTAAACACTACGCCAATTGACTTTGTTTTGACTCTTTTGTCTTTCAGGGTTGTCTTGTGAAACTGAGGGACTGGTTTGCCAGTAACTATGTCAGCACGGGCGCAGGTGTTGTCACCCTGTTTATCATACAGGTACAGTACACTCAGTCTTCCTCAGTAAGAACAATGACTGCCTATGAGAAACAGTAAACTGTGTGCATTATTGACTAGAAGCTGCTTAATACTCTGTGTGTATGAGAGATATTCATTTTAAGCAAGCTACACTGAAAAAACTGAAACATTGACTTTAATTATGTCAACAGATTTCACATGACTTTATTACTTGAAAGCAATAATATGAATTATTATTTAAATAAAAATATGAGGTTCAACGTTATATTATTGCTTTCAACTAACCTAATACAGTTATGTGAAATGTGTTGACATTTACATTTAATTTGTATGTTTCAGTTTTCTTGTTTGTGGTTAATGACTGATATCCCCTCAGCCATCCATCACTGTTGCTTTGGCGGACATGCTAGCAAACAGTTAGCATTCATTTACGGCCCGTCCACACGGCGGCGTGCGTTGAAGCTTCAACGCGTCTGCCCATTCACTTTGAATGGGGTGACGTCACACTTTGCCGAACTGCATTGTGGTTCCGTCGCTTCGCTTTGCTCGTGTTGCTCGCTTCAAAGGTTGAGCAATGTTCAACTTTTGCAGCTTCGACGGAAGCGTCAGCCAATCAAATCATATGCCAGTACAAGCTCGAGCCAATCAAACCGCGTGCTTGTGTGTCCGGGGCGGGAGATTCATGTGATTGGTTGTTGGTCGAGTTTCAGACACGCCCACCGGCAAGCTTCAACGCACGCCGCCGTGTGGACGCTGCGTTAGACTCATGTCTCTATGGTTGCTTAATGCTCAGCTATGTTCAAAAGCTAGTGTCTAACAGTTTTTGCTAGGCAAGAGGTTTACATTCACACTGAGAACAGTAGGAGTGAACCAAAACAGTTTGCTGAAAGACACTAAAATGCTCTCTACAGCTGAGGGGAGCTGGCGCTTTATAATTATCTGTGTGTTTGTCACTTAAACACACCTTATCATACACATAATAATGTCATCTATTGTGAAAATACATTAAAATGTTGAAGAGAGGCGCTTTAAGGTGTCACATTTGCACAGTGCCTTATGTTCTGTAAATCGCAGAACAATGTACAGTATAATCTTTCCTAGTTTTCTTTTTAGCTTTTTCATGTTTTTCGCATTGTAGTTAAACAATTGTTTCTTTTTCTTCCTTGTTTACAGTTTATTTGCCTGTCCATCACCGTACCTCTCTTTTGCCACATCAGTCGAAGTGGATTGGGATACAAGTGAAAAGAGCCAGTAAACACATCTCCAATTTACAGAGGCTTACCCGTTGTTTTTCCTCTCAACATTTTCACAATTTGTGACCCACAGAAGAAAAAGCCCCAGTCCCAGAGATAGGCTGAGGAAGCTTATCAAACGTATTGACAATGTCCTATGAGGTGACAGAGCATTGAGTGTGATATAAAACAAAATAGCAATATCAACAAATGTATTAATGTAATGCCATGAATTTGTTTGACTTCTTCTCACCCACACTGAAACGTTGACTTTATTTAAATGTATTATGTCAACAAATTTCACATAACTGTATTAGGATAGTTGAAAGCAATAATATTAAGTTGAACCTAATATTCTTTAGTAAAACGTCATATTATTGCTTTCAACTAACCTAATAAAGTTATGTGAAATCTGTTGACATCATACATTTAATTAAAGGCAACAATTCAGTTGGTTAATCCCCAATTTATGCTAGACTCAATTATATTCACCACTTTGGACACATGCCATTTGTAGAGCATTTTAAACTATGGACTTAAGCTAAGACATGTCTTGGACATTTTGAAAACATCCTCTCAATGTAAGAAAGTGTTATTATTAGGGTTAACTGTTAGGCACAGGAGAATTTGTAGTTGCAGAGAAATTATTTTAAATGTTTCTTACTTAGCTAGATAGATGGATAGATATATAGAATGATCGATATACTGTATACAATTCTGTACAACAAACTAAAATATGTGCTTGTAACTCAATTTAATTGTTTTTCAAATGTTTGAATTGCTTTCCTTCTTTTATTATAATTGTTTCGGTCAGTTACACTCTTTGATTATTATTGATCCTGTCTGTTATGTAGTTGCTTAAAGGGGACCTATCATGCAAAATGCACTTTTGTACGTCTTTTATACATGAATACTGTATGTGTCCCCGGTGTTCCAGGGAACTCACCAAGTGTCAGAAAACACAACCCTCTCTCTTTTCCTCCATACCCAAATCTCTAACAAAGGGGCTGCAACGGATCTGATAAAAACTTGTCCAGATTTGAACACTTTACTGACGTCAGGACAGTGGCGCTACGGCTATTGGGCCAACTCCACCAATCAGGAGGAGACAGCCACGGCCATTGCCGTTCGAAAGCGCTGGAGACGCTGTAGTACATATGCCAGGCCTGTAGGTGGTGCTGTTCTCACTGAATCTGCCCTTGCTAAAACAGATCTAAAAAATGTCAAATTGAGCGAAATGAGGCATGGCTAAAATGCATGATCTGTTTGGTATTTTGAAAAAAAAAAAGTATAAATATGCCTTATATAGGTATGGTCCTACACTATATTATTCAAATATAGCATGATAGGTCCACTTTAAGGAATACACATGATGCATCTGTCATTAATTCGGCTGAGCAATAGGATGTAGATTAAAATATAGGACATCTTTTAGCAATTAACACAAATATCTGTAACAAGGTTTTCTAACTAGTATCATAAACATGTTTTTTTACCCAGACCGGGGCCCCATGTAGCTTGTTTAAAATAAAAAATAATATTACATCTAAAAGTTTTCGCTTACAGCTTTCTGCATTGTATGCGGGGAAAATCGTTCAGTGCAAGCATATCCCCCATTTAGCCACAGAGTTACTTCAAGCCAGATACTTAGATCTTAATATGTCTCTGCCTATTTTTCTCCATCTTTGCCCTTACGTTTCTCAGGGCCTATATGTCCTCCATTTTCAGGTGAAACAAAGCGGGTCATGGCACAGCTGCCTTCAGAACATAGCTGTGCACTGTGCATGCTGCCACATGGCCAATTGTTCCCCTAAGATATCAGACATGTGCAAACATGGGACGAATCTCAACAGGAAATTGGATCAATGTGCAGGTGACCTGCTCATTCTCAAAGACCATCGCGTATGCCTTTGTTGAATCGCCCCTAGAAAACAATGATCTTGCATTCTTCTTATACCTTCCTTATTGACAGACTATTTCAATATAAGTCACTTTTGTCATTACATTTATTTTGTGGTATCTTGTATTTCTTGGCCTTATTCCTGCCCATTTCCTGCATGCTGTGACATTTTAGCATCAGCTTTATGAATATAAACAACTTAAATTATACATTTTTCTTACATATCTACTGAAGACTGATATTTACCAAGCCCCCATGGAAGTGCGCAGGCTGTTGATGTTCGTAGTGGCCAAATCGTGGTACTACAACTCCCGTTCTTGTCCGTGACGTCATTTGGCCCCTTACATTCGGAAAGAGACGCTCTATGTTAGCGCTCTTTAGCCAAATTAACTACGCAGTACGAATGCTTTTATAGCCCTTAGTTAAACAATTAGGGTCTTACTCTTAAAGTTGTTAAATGTGCTAAAAGACAAATCAAGAGTTATTTTCCCTCTCCATTCATTTGACTGAGCCGGGAAAGAAAGCCCACATGCAGTAGGCCTACTCTTTAATCTGCAGGCGCTCCACCTTTAGCTTCATGCGCCAGTGAGCAACTTTCAAATGAATGAGCAGGCCCCGCCTCCAACGCTGTATCCACTTCTCTTTATACATCAGTGATATTTACAGAAGTATAGATATCTGCGTCTGTGACAAGTGTCACGTGACATGGGTAAATATTTCCAAGAGTTGAACTTCTTAGCTTTTCAAGAAATGAGCGCCCCTCAAATTCGGCATGTGTAGCCTACAGCAAACCAACATGCGCAACTTTGTTTTTCGAACTCAAGAGTTTAAAATCACAAGTTCAAATAATTACAAAATACTTTAAGTTTGAAACCAAAGTCCCTCTTTTAAAATGTTAAAAATCACCTGATTTTAAGGAGAAGCCACATTGTCAATGGAACTCTATGTGAACTCAATGGGAGCATTCAGCTAAAAAATAAACACTGCTGGCAGCGAGGAATATTATAGTCCAACAAGTCCTCCAACTCATACGACCAAATGGGCCGATTGTTCAAGCCCTTATTACGACCAAATGTGTCGTTTGTTCAAGTGCTTAATATGTCCTATAATTACGTTTTAAAGTTTTCGCCCTCTAGTGCTCCCGTTGAATGCAAACGTTACAGATGATCGTTTATTCACAAATAACCCTCTCTGTAAAATCCTAAATTGTAGGATAGTTTGGCCATTAAAACGCTTTTTGATTAGATTTCTAGCGAGAAGTGTATATTGTACTTTTAGAATCTACGTCCAGTCGATATGTAGGATCTATAGTTTGATAGATATTACGAAGATGATTTGAGGTTTCGACAGGAGAACGTGTATATGCGGTAGCTTCCATGTAAAGTTACGGGTTGAAAACAGTATTTCCGGTCTCGACGTTTTGATAATAAAACCAATGATCAAATGATTACACAGTGATATCTGCAGTACTCATCCACTAAAAAACATCAGTTTATCCTTGTTAATTATACGACATTAATTGGTTTAAAAAGTGTACAATGCTTTTGTGTTTTTCCCATAGGTTTTCTCTTTCGATTCTGAGAGACACATTTCTTTTTTCAGAGGTTTGGATAGGCTAAAATCACGCCGCAATGCACGTTGGGATATGGTGTTTATGCGATATGAAATCGGAAAACATTTAAAAACAACCCGTCCAATTTCAGTTTTGGATAGTCTGTCGTGGTTCCATTCCATTTCAAAGAGCTGTTTGACGCTCAGCGTAACCTTGTCGCACTGCCACTCCAACATCCAATCACAGGGCTTGATGACTAATCACGGGGTTTGTAAAGCAAGGCGGATGTTGTACTCCCAAACGATAGCTGGGGATTCTGGGTAGTGTAGTGTCTTCGGAAACTAGTGTCTTCGAGTAGTATGAAGCTGCAGCGTCGGAGGCTGCAGTCTCAGGACCACACTCCCGGGACCGCACTATCAGGACCCTAGTTGTTTTGCAAACGCAGAGAGTGTGAGTAGTGTGAAGTGCTTTTAAAGTTTTATTTGTTTAACATTAATAACAATTCCGGTGTCTTGAAATGAAGTATGATTAGCTAACATTAACTATGATAGTCTTAAGTAGTGATGTGTCGGTCGCGAACGAGCCGATTCTTTTGAACGGCTCTTTGGTACGAACGAGGGGAACCGAGTCGTACTTGGTGAGAGCCGTTCTTGTTATCGTTCAATCGTTGGTCCGCACTCACTGCCTGCCAAAATCCACTCTCCTTTTAAAAAGCTTGATTTTGTTCCCCAAACGTATTCTGTGAAGACCCGCCCCTACTCTGTTTGGTAGGTTTCAGCACGAGGAGTGAGATGGGGTGGGTCTTAACGGAATACGCGAGAGAGAAGTCATACCAAGTGGTACAGGACAGGTAGACAACGTGTTTTTCGGATGGAAAATGAGCCAAACGCGAAAACGCAGCAGCATTTGGATTCACTTCAACCAAAACCCAGTCAGTGATAAAGCGCACCATTTGTAAAGGCAAAATATCCTTTAAAGCAGGATCAACAAATAATCTCCATCGCCACTTAAAAACACAGTATCTAATATTAAGAGTTGCATGAATTTCATTCAAGGCAAGGCAACTTTATTTACTTAACACATACAGAGGGTAAATTCAAAGTACATTCACTGACATGATGACATGGATATGGCGCCACCTTGTGTCATGTTTACAATGCCGATTATTGACATTAGGTCTGGCAATACAGTCAATCATTATCCTGGTGATTATTTTGCAGATAAACCTAGTAACCTTAAAAAAACGGCTCTTTTGAACGGCTCTTTTGAACGGCTCTTTGAAAGGAACGGAGCCATAAGATCCGGCTCCCTTCAAAGAGCCATAATTCCCATCACTAGTCTTAAGGCAATACAAACAAACATCTGTTAGCTTATGATAGCTTCTAACAGTATTAAAGGCACTAAAAACAATTATTTGTTAGCTATAGCTTTCGGCAAAAGCATTGTTAGCAAAAGCATTAGCTTCGTTAGCATATTTGATTATTTGTTTAATGAAACTGTAGCGTGATTTTGGCAAGCCCAACTAGGTGTCCTACATTAATTGTTGATTTAATCACTAATTACAGTAAGAGTGTGAGTAATGTGAATCATGTTGTTTGTTTAAAGTTAACAACTATTCTGGTGTATTCAATTGGACAGCAATACAAGCAACACGTGCTAAATGTCAATGAAACCGTATGTTATGGTTATGTTATTTAGCAGAGGCTTTTATCCAAAGTGACTCACAAAAAACATAAAAGAACCATAATTAACATTAGATTATCAATACAAATAGTTACATAGTCAGTTACATTACGTATTACATTTTTAACAGGGTAATTAGTCATCTGTAACCTACTACATTTAAAAAAAGTAAACTTCCCAACCCTGATCATTAATTATAGTCAGCTAATTAATTAAACTTCAAAGGATGACAAAAGCATGTCAATATGATCTGTCTGTCCGCTACATTAAATCAGCAGTAGCCTAAGTTCTATCTTCAGTGTAAATGCTTCTTTAATAGTCATTGTATTACTATTTGAATTCATTGTAAATAATTGTAACTGTGCTGACTGCCTGTTTACTGTTTATCAGACAGTCTCATCATTTTGACATGTTTTGTAATATGCATGAGGTGTTTTAGTCAGTTATTATGTCGGCCTATTCTGTAGGTTAGAATCTGTCGTGTCAGAATCTAACAATTAGGCCTAATTTATGTCTGTCTGTGAAAGTATTTCAAAATGTTCAGTTTGACCAATTAGGCTCTCTCTTTTTCAAGATGCATATTTCAATCCAAGAGGGGAGATCCTTGCCCGACTTACAACGATGCACTACATGTTGCGAAGTCTTTCACTGCCCGTTCTGTGCCTCAAATGTGTTCCACCCAGCCAAACTGAGCAAGGTCCAAACCCATTTAGAGAGCCACTTCAACCGTGCAGTTCTCCATGAAGGTAAC